GTCAAGATGATTTGCAGGAAGAGTTTTTTCTGAAATTTCAAGTGCTTTTTCGTAAAATGAAACTGCTTTCAAGTACTCTCTCATGTTCATATATACTATACCAATATTGTTGTAGGAAGTTGCCAAGTCAGGATGGTTTGCAGGAAGAGTTTTTTTAAAGATTTCAAGTGCTTTTTCGTAAAATGAAAGTGCTTTCAAGTACTCTCCTATATTGTTATACAAACTACCAATATTGTCGTAGGAAGTAGCTAACGAAGGATGATTTGCAGGAAGAGTTTTCTCAAAGATTTCAAGTACTTTTTCGTAAAATAAAAATGCTTTCGAGTACTCTCCCATGTTGTTATACACACTACCAATATTGTTGTAAGAAATAGCTAACGAAGGATGATTTGCAGGAAGTGTCTTTTGTTGAATTCCAAGTGCTTTTTCGTAAAATGAAAGTGCTTTCAAGTACTCTCCCATGTTGTTATACACACTACCAATATTGTTGTAGGAATTAGCTAACGAAGGATGATTTACAGGAAGTGTTTTCTCAAAGATTTCACGTGTTTTGTCGTAAAATGAAAGCGCTTTCGAATACTTTCCCATCTTATTATACACACGACCAATGTTATTGTAGGAAGTAGCCAGCGAAGGATGAATTGCTGAAAGAGTTTTTTTAAAGATTTCAAGTGCTTTTTCGTAAAATGAAAGTGCTTTCAAGTACTCTCCCATGTCATGATACATACTACCAATATTGTTGTAGGAAATAGCCAACGAGGGATGATTTGCAGGGAGAGTTTCTTCAAGAATTTCAAGTCCTTGTTTATAATATTCAATAGCCTGTTCATAGTCGCCTTGATCAGCTTTGACAGATCCAAGATTGTTATAATAAAGTGCTTCGTCACTCTCGCTCGATGGTTGTTCAAGTAATACTTTATATAGTTCTTCAGCCTTATCAAAATGTCCTGTTTTGAGTAATAAGTTACCCAATTTTATCCACCCTGTGCCACCTCCAACTTCTTTGCTTATATATTTAGTAAGTTGCTGGAGCTGTTCATCATCATCAGCAGTTAGTTGAAGTTCTACTTGATAAAGTTGATCGTTATTGTCCATTTGTTTAATTGTATCTATTCGAAATACGGTGTGCATGGAGAAGAGAATTTCGTCTTCGTCACTGTAATAACTAGCCTCGTTAATAGAGGCGAATGGTGCTGATGAGACACGAGGATCAATAGTCATTATAAAAAATATTCCTACTTTATCAGCATTTCCTGAAGCACTCTCGGCATAAACAAGAGGAAGATCTGGTTGTGCACTGGTTGATAAAAAGCTATTAAATGACAGTAGGCCATCTTTTGTTTTTCTGAGTTTGTCGAAATCAGTTTTCGACAAACCTTGTCCTCGGTAAACTATAAAAGGCTTACCATGATAATTTGGGAGTTGTTTTTCATGTAGTTGATATAGTTGTTCATGAAGATCCCGAATAAAAAATCCCATATTAATAATTATATCGGCATCCAATGTCCGAAGTGCTCGATTGAGCATTTGATAAATAAAACACTCTCGTGTATACCACCAAATCGCTTGTTCTCGACGATAATCATGTTGAAATTCACTAATAATATTTAATTCTGTGATATCGTCAGAATAAAATTTGTAGCAATACGCAACTAAGATCTTGATGGCTTGTTCTTGATCATGCTCCATTTCAAGGAGAATCTCCTTGAATATTTGTGTGTACATGTAACTTGGCTCCAGTTGATTCAGGTGTTCACTGGACACTATTTCATTCGTCGTGACGAAGCTTATAGAAATTGAATCCCGATTGACTTGCCTGACATCTTGTTTGTCATCTACTTTTAATGCATCGCAAATGCCCTTGATATCATTACTCGGCCACCACAAGGCAATTAATGATAACTGCCATACCAAAAATAATTTAAATAGAATATTTTCTTTCGACATTTTTTCTGAAAATAATTATGTTGATAAGAAAATCAAAATTAAGTTAAGATTTTAGATCGAAATAAAAATACTGAAAGTTAAATCTATATTTATTAACATGAGGCATCTTTAGGGTGTAGGTGTGGGTGTATCTTATTTATATCACCCACACTCATCGATGACCACAGCTCGTAGCTGTTTCAACATATTCTGACAATCCTTGTTCGTTGGATCAATAGTTGCGTCAATCCAAACCAACAGATAATTTTGGACTATGCGCTGACGTGTTAATGGCACTGTTATTATAACAATGATGTTAGAGGCGCCTAAACTGTAGAATGAAAGAATCTTTTTTTTTGATTGTTGTGCACTCCTATTGATGTGAATCGCAACTTGTTGGTAAATACGAACTTATAAGTGAGTGTTATTATTCGAAATGAATATAGAGAACAAAACATTGGCTTATATAGGTAATGATTTCTTTTTTTTCGATCTTTCTACGACGCAAAATGTTTTTATCTTTTCTTGGCACATGGAGTCGTAATCTACTTTATTACATTCAAAAATACTCTTGTAAAGGATCATAAAAAGAGAGAGATCAACAACGTCATTAGACGAACACGAAAGAAAGCAAAAGTCAATAACATACTATATTTTATTGTTTATCTTTCCCACTTTCATTTGCCTTCATCTACATAATAACTACAATGTGTCAATGTGCAGATTGTTCTTTGTTATCGAAAAAGTATCAGAACAGCGCTTTGTTGTATATCGTTTTATTTCTTTTAACAGTGAAACTTGTTTATGATATAATAATTGAAAAGAAAACGTTATTGCGATGTTTGCGTATTAGTCACTGTAAAGACATTGAATCAATCAACGAGTAAAAAATTAGATTTACAGTTGGTTGAAATATGTTCGTGAAATCTTTTCTATTTTACCAAATCTAATATGGTATTAATGAATTTGTATTCCGATTGATAAAAAAGAAATCTCGGTCGGATTTTGTGCACTACATGGATGGTTATGCCGAAATATATTGAGGATTATCTAATGCGCATTTCATACTTTATAGATATATATACTCCTTCTCTCGCGCTAGAAATAATTTATTTAGACTTATATTTAAATGAGCAATAATAAAATCGAAATGAGCAATAACGAAATTTGGCAATAATAAAATTGAATGAGCGATAATAGTACTGAATGAGCCATAAATATACTGAACGTGCAATAATTATACTAAATGGGCAATAATTATATTAAATGAGCAATAATTTATTTAAATGAGCAATAATTTATTTAAATGAGCAATAAATCGTATGTGTAAGGAGCAATATAAATCCAGGTGTTAAATCCCCTCTATAACAGAAGACCCCCTCTCAATAGAAGAACCTCCAATAATAGAAGACCCTTCTGGAAAAATTTTCTATACAAATTATGTGTATTTTGATGAGGATTTCAGTAAATTTAGACTTAGTTTGAGAAATATAATAGAAGACCCGGTGGTCTTTTATCATGGACAGGGGTTTACAGCACCATTCGTCTGCGTTAGATATTTTCTTTTCATTCTTTTGATTGTATCGTATAGATGGCTTATCCAGATCTACACATATATATTGTTTTTTCCTTTTTACCTGAAGTATTTTTCAAACGTTGACTAGTTCAAGTACTTTTCTTTCTCCTTATTTTTCCCTCATTGTCTTTGAATTTTCCCATCCTGTTTATGTGTATATATTAGAGGTGGAATCGGTTCGTGATTTTTTGGAATCGAACCGAATTCTGCCGAAAAATTGTCAAACCGAATCTAACCGAACCGAGCTCAAAAGAAGTGAAGTCTATGGCAAGTTAATCATCAAGTCAGCTTTTCTCGAGGGTGGGTGTGAGTCCGTGTGTATGTTCACTTCATCATCATCCATACTAACACCCACACCTTCAAGAGGCTGACCATGTAAAGCAAAAGAAGCTTTATTGCTATAATAGTACATTTATTGCTCATTTTCCTTTTTCTTATGATCAATTGTAGAAATAAAAACTGGCATTTTTCTTTTTCTTGTTACCAAAATATGAAATTAATATTGCTATTCACTGGATTAATTATTAACCATTTCATAATTTAAAACTGCTCAAAAAAGATTTTTTTATTGCTCAAAGATTATTGCTAATTCGTATTTTAATTATTGCTCATTCAGTCACTATTAGTGCTCATTTAAATACTAGCCATTTATTTATACATATATATTTTTTCATTTAGATCTTCAAATCCAAAGCTAACATTGAAAGCAAGTATACATGTGACTGTTAGAGATTCAAAATCATTTTATGAAAAGATAGTTTGATGATGATGCCGCCACTTATTCTTTGACAAAGGGTATTATTTTATGAGTTCTTATACAAATGTAGATACAAAAAAAGTACATTGATAACGAAGAAAAGCAAACGTCATTGTATTATTATCACGGTTGCCATGTTTTTTTTGTTCTTATATGTATACATGCATAAATATGTGAGTTACGAAGAGAAGCAGAGTTGAATATTTTCAACAGGTTTTTTGCTGTTTTCTCCTACTGTATTTCCATTCAATTGATGAATTTAAAAAAATATATTAAGTATGAAAGAAGAAACACACTCTCACATATTGTTAACATGAACAATGTTATCGATATATTCAAAAAAAAGAAGTTAACGTTTGAATGTTTCTTCAGTTTATTAAAACAGACTAAAAGACAATAATATCCACTGAAATCATAATGTGTTACTCAATATATCATTCATCCTATTACTGCTTTATCATAGGAAAACAGGTGTAATAAGTTTTTCTCTAAATGATATTGTGATATTTACTCTAAAAAAATGTTTTTCCTCTCTCCATAGAACAAGATTTTCAGTATGAATAAGATTATGCTTCATTAGATAGAAGATAAATATAGTACATTCACATTCTCAATCTTTGTTAAATAGTGAATTCAGAAAATATTTCTATGTGCTCTACATAATTTACCTAAAACTCAAGAAAGTGTTGCTCGTCCAAGAGATAAAATAAAATTTTCTGTTATTTGAGTAAGTAGAATATTATGTTTACGAGCAACCCTGCAACGGCAATGTCTCAAAATAAACCCACTTTAAGACTTAATCCACCGATAACCGAACGATTTCAACTTTACGAATTTTTCCATACTCCTAGCCTACGTTATGATCCAAAAGAAGATATTCAAATTGAAGAAAATATCAAACCAGCTCTAGAACAATCAATTACTTCTAAAGATGAAGACTCAACTCGATTTAGCCAACGCTTAACTTTCAATGCTACACAAAATCAAAATGCAGAAGATAACACAACATAGTAAAGTATCTAAGATATAGACTCTGGTAAAGACTCGCACCCACACCCTCAAGAAAACGAAAAGATGTATATTGTCGGAAGTTTCTAGTTTATTTATGAAAGATCATTATGTGATTAATATTTTGAGTGTAGAAAAAAAAGAGAGCACTGAACATGATCGATTTTGTTATTTTTCATTTAAATCTCATGAATATTGCCGTTAAGATGTATGTTATTGATTAAGCATTACATCCTGTCGACATAATGGACATCTCGTTAATTGTTCTTGTTGTT